ATATTGTGCATGGTGAATATTGTATCATGCATTATTTGCCTAACTTCAGTATTTTGTTAAGCCTAGCATAATGATAAATTGAAATTACATGCACTTTTAGGTGAAAATATATCACAAACTTTTTTTTTTTACAACTATCTTTAACTAGCCGTTCTCCCGGGAGGCTACGAACAAGAAGGATAAAATCTTCTAAGATAAAAATTTATCATTGTTTAAGATGTGGGAAGGCCGAACACAGTCACAAGACATGCAAGAATCATAACCCAGCATAAGAAGTGGTTACATTATACTTCTTTGATGTACACAAGCAACTATAATTATGTATATGAAAGTATTTTCAAATAATATTTTTTGAGTAAGTGGGAATCACAAATATTTTTTATTTGTATATGTAAAAGCAATTGTTAAATATTTTGTATATAGTGGCTAACTTTTTATATATATCAGACTTGAAATATTGTATCAAATTTTATATGAGTATTTATTTTAGTACCTAGGCTAATACTAACACGAAATTATTCATATATGATGTAATTGTCCTTCTTAATATTGGAAATGTATAGACTTTCTATCGAACATGTGTGAACATCGTCTTATGCATATGTCGTGCATGGTCTGCTTAATATCATTTTGTTATAGTCTAAGCTAATAAAATATTGAAAATGTATGAATTTTTTGTTCAGCACATGTGAACATCATATTATGCATAGTAGATATTGTGTCGTGCATGGTCTGCTTAGTCATTTTTGCTAAAGTCAAGGCTAGTGAAATACTTAAAATGCATGAACTTTCTGTTGAAATGCGTGGATGTTGTCTTGTGCATAGTGAATATTACATTGTGTATAGTCTATTTCATTATTTTGAAAGTTCACGCAAGTTATGAATTCAAATCAAACAAAGGGCAAAATCGTACTTTTAATTTCAAGAAAATTGGCGATAAGGGCCTTAAGGCCCGCAAAGAAATATCAAAGTCATTTAGGCTTAAATTACAATAAAGTTTATTTTTAAGACCCTTAATGCCATTCCTTAAAAAAAAAAAATGTATGCAACGTTTCGGATGAAATTAAATATGTAAGAAAATGGCCCTAAATATAAATGATTCTGTAAAGATGTTTTAACAGTGTTTTTTTAGTATAGATATTGACATTTATCTTCATTTTATCATTGCTAATAAATAGTTAAAACTATTTTAAGTTTTAAAAATTCGTGTCCCTTAAAAATTGTTTTTTTTTTGTTATAACCTATTTTTACTTTATTTATGTGAATTAAGTCAAAGAAAAATTTCATCTAAACATTTTACGTGAACCTTTAAATGAAAAAAAAAACCCTATTATTCACCACATTACAATCTCCCAATCCTTTTAGTTTCTTCAAAAATTAAATCAAGCATCCTGTTACAATTGCTTTTTATCACTAAGTTATTTGGTAATTCTGGTAAACATATTGTAATTTCATTTGTTCTATTCCATTCTCTTCTGTTATTTTTTACCCAAAAAAAAGTCAAATAATTACTTCATTCAAACTCATGGAATGCAATATATATATATATATATATTCTGGTTTGCATTCATGGTGGGTGCGCTGTGGTAAAAATATTCATAGAAAATATAATATAGGGATACATGGGAAATTATAGAGCTAAATGGACGGTAAAATCAAAACATGAGCTGGCGGGCATTGAGCTGGTAGACAAAGTGTATGTGTTGACTTTTTGAAAATGAGAGGGAAGAATCTCTATGTCCTTGGAGGGAGTATCAGCAGGAAATTTTCGTGAGGCTAATGCTATATTCGAAAAGATTTCAGGACGATTTAAAGAAGATTGAACAGATCCACAACAATTCAGAAGAAAATGAAAACTTATAAAATATATCGGTATAGTTTAGAAAGACTCAGATATATCTAAAATAATATAAAGAGTGCAAGAAGTATTTAAATTATTCCGAAAATATCTCTCTCTTCTACATTCTAAAAATTTCTTCATAAATATTTGGATATCTTTTATAAATATTATTATAAAATACTCTAAAAATTGAGTATACATCATTGGATGAGATTAACCTCAATTATCCTCTGAGAAAGTGAAAACTTTATGAAAAAAGGGGCTTATAAATATCCTCATATATGTAATCATTAAGCAAAATTATAAAGATCTCAAGTCAATTTATTCAAGTTTTTTACTCTCTCTCTTGTGTATCAAGCTCTTTAAGTCTTTTTGCTTATATTTTGAAGATTCGGTCAATTTAATCAAAATTAAGAATTGCTCAAATTAAAGCTGACATAGTTCAAGAAAAAGAGAATTCAAAGGCCGTGACAATCTATTGTCATTGGTCGATCGTTGAAGGGAATTCTTATCTTCACAAGAGAAGGAGATAACCAATTGCGTGAGGTGCCAGTCCTCTTGAAATTTGATGACCCATACCAAGATTGATCTTAAAGACACAGACTTGGAAGAGGGACTTCGGGATCAAGCTCCTCCCTTCAACATAGAAGCAGCACACAAAATCCGTCTAATCAGCCAACCAGGAGATTAACTGTAAGTAAATAACAATAAGCAAACATTGGATGAGAAACAAGATGAGTATTGAGAACAAGAGCGCCGGCATATAAGCGGGACCGCATATAAGAGCCTGTGAAAACATAAAAGAGAAGATAAGCAGAGATAAAAGATTTGGTATGACTACTGTAGAAAACAAGAAGGGGGAAATGAAGGGACGGGGCATATGAAGTGCCTGTTTGGATAGCGTCTTAATCAATTATTTGAGACAAAAAATCAATTTTTACCAAAACTATCCAAACACACATTTTATGGGTTAATCGATTTTTGGGCAAAAATTAATTTTCTTTTGAAACTGAGAAGCCAAGCATTTGTGGAAAAGCTAACCAAAACCGTTGGGAAAAATTATAAAGAAAGGCTCAGAAAAAAATTACAAATAAAGCACATAATTTAATAAAAATAAAATCAAACTCCCTTCTCTTCTCTCTATTTTTTTTCTTAATAAAATTCAAACTTTGTATCCTCAAAAAAATTAATATTTAGTATTTCAAAATTAAATTATATAGTAATTTATATAGCTAAAATTAATTTTGATTAAATTATCCAAACATCTTCAATTCTGTTAAAATTAATTTTAAAAAAATAATATCCAAATAAATTGCGTTATAACATAATCAATTATGATTAAAATCTACCACTTAATTAATTATTTTCATAATCTATTATACTCAACTAAAATCCAAACAGACCTGAAGAGGCGAAGGTGGAAAGCGAAGAGGCTACGGGTGTGTTTGAAATTATTTTATTATTATTTTAAAAATTGATGTTTTGTAGAATATGTTTTAAAAATAAAAAAATAATAAAAATAAATATTTTTTACATTCTCCCTTGTTATTTAGAATAATAATTTCAAAATACTTAAACGTAGAGTCGGGAATAAGGGTCGGGCTTGAAGGTCGGGCTTATAAGTCCTGTTTAAATAAGGGTTCAAGCTTTGAATTTTTTTTAAATGAACCGGGCTTAAGAGCTTGGCCCTGATAAGCCCTGTAAAAAAGGGCTCGGGCTTGAGAGGCCCTCCAAGCCCTGATAACCTTATTATTATATATATATATGCATATACATAAATATATTTGATTGATAATGACACAATTCGGTCAATATTTATTGTAGAGGATGAAGAAGAAGTTGTAAAGGTAATTAATATAGAATTTTCATCTCCATTTTCATTATTTAACAAGTACACTTACATTCGAGAGATTTAATGTTTTATTTGTAGATGATAAGGATAAAGATGATTTGGGTTTTGATTGATGAATGTGTATTGTTTAGATTTCTAAATATGTTGCGTAATTTTTAAAATACTGTGTGGATTTTAATTTTTTAAATTTCAAAATATTTTAATTAATTTATAATATTTAATTTTATTTTAATTTTTTATTTTTTTAACAGGGCTTTTGGGCCCAGCCCTAAGCCCTTTACATAAGGGCCGGGCTTCGAAAAAAGGATTAAAAATAGATAATCGGGCTCAAAGGTCTAGGCTCTTAAGGGCAAAGCTTATAAGGGTTGTACTCGCCCGTATTCCCATATATACTTAAAAGATATTTTTATTTTTTTTTGTTTATCAAAATAATATTTTATTTTTTTAAAATATTTTTTAAAAATATGTTATCAAATAATTTTTTTTATTTTGAAAAATAAAAAAATTATTACCGATACAAATTGACAAACTGGCCTACTCTTCAGAGTGAAACCCCTCACTAGCTAGTGTTCCTCTCACTGGCGGAATCAATCTGTTTGGAAAATCACTTGATCGGGTGCGTCGCACCACTCCAATCAACCGAAGCAATGATTTTGGCTCCACAAAAAAAAAAAAGAAAAAAGGAAAGAAAAATCACTGACACAAATTGCAAACAGCTGTTCACACGTCACCACGTGGGGGATGAGCCTTGCCACCAGCCTCACTTTGCCACCATTTTTTAATTATCTGTCAATTAAAATTAATTTGTTTTAATTATTTTTATTTTTTGTAATTTATAAACAAGAAAAATCTAGTGTTATTTATTTATGTTTTCAAATATCCTATATTTAACATTATCCAATAGAAAATGTTGTTTGTAACTATTCTGTGAAAGTATTTTTTTTTTTGTTTATTTTAGTTCTTTTTATGTCCGCTTTCCTAACATAATATAAGATGAAAGAGAAATTATTTCGTCCCTTTAATTATCACCTTCTGGGTCTAAGGGTCGTGTCTGTTAACTTCTTATCAGCTTAAAAGGTAATCCCTTGACGTTGGATTTTTTCCTTTATGAAGGAAAACAAAAGAGAGATCAGTACAGGCTTAGATGGTTAAATTGAATTTAAAAATTTAAATTTAGTAATTTTTAAAAATATAAATTTAATTTAAACAATTTACATTTACAGTGAAAAACTAATGAAAAAAAAAAAGACCCACCCTCAAACAGTTTTAGTTGGAAGCCAAGGTTCCACAGTGATCTTTTATGTGAAATCCAATCAATAACACGGAAACAAAATAAATCAACAACATTGAGCCGGGAGCGTTGAGCTTTGTTCTCCTCAGGGAATAAATCGAGAACTGGAAAGTTCCCAAGAACAAAATAAGCCACGACAGTAGGAAACATGGCAACGAAGCTGGTTTGGATAGCCATTATTGGTTTTGCTTGCCTCATTTCTGGGGTTATCTCCAGGGGATCTGAGACACATTCTGAGTTTTCTTACTTAGACAATGATTTCGTCGCAGCAAAAGCTTCCTCATCTGCCCAGCCTCTCGTTGTCGCCCTCACTCTCATTGAAGGAGCTGCTTCTAAGGGAGCTGGTATTACTCTCTACCTTCTCTTCTTAAAATAAAAATAACATTTATTTTTGCTTCTGCTGCTTTATTTTCTTCTTTGGCCATTTCTTCTCCTTTATATTGTAACTAGCTTTTGTGATCTCTCTCTTTTGAAGAAAAATAAATTCACGTGATGATTTGATTGTTGCCTTCAACCATAGCTCCATAAGCCACTCAGTGGCCAGAGCTTGCAACGCATTGATCAACGAATTCCAAGATTTCCCCGCCTTTTCTGCTCTTTTTAATTTTAGAGTGTTCAATTCAGTCTTGGTTGACAACTTTAGACATTAATTGGCCAGTAATTATCATTTCACTCCCATATTTTTCACATGAAATGCTTCGTCCTCCAATTTTTGGACTTTCTAAAGTATCTGGATCCGCTAAGCTGGAGGATGGTAAATTTGAGTGAATTTTAATTGAGAGGGAGAAAATAAAAATTATAGTTTAGAAAACTTCACTCACCTCTACCGATTTACTCAACTTTACCAATGCCAACTTTACTTAATCCGGATCCATCAGTTATATATAATTCCTAACCTGAAAAATGTATGTTTTTTCTCACAATCGATTTCGTATTGAACTTTCCATTGATTCCTGACAATACGTGGTTAACATCGTTATGGAGCCGCGTTTGTCTCCAGATTAACATGATATATTTCGGACTGCTGTATAAGTACGCCTTCCTCGCTTAATCAAGTTTTTAAGATAGTCCTAACAAAGCCTAATTTACTGTGAAGTCCGACAACAATGCAAAAACCTTTCAGCGGGTTTCAAATATTGTCCCTAAAGTTTGTTTGGTTGTCTATAACGCCAGTCTGTTTGGATGGAACGCTGCCTGGCTACCACTTGCATCGTGGGTTCGGATCTGGGGCAAATAGCTGGCTCATTCAACTTGAGGTATATAAAAAGTTTTCAAGTATTATTTACTGTGGGTTTCAAATTCAATAACCACAATTTTAACGTTTAATATATTTTTTTTAATACTTTGTTCCGTATTCTGGCCATTCAATGGTCTATATTACGAATTTGGCTTTAGAAAATAATCATCATATTTAAAATTATGCTGAATGATGGTCATGCTGCTAATGCTATGTTGGACTTGATTGAGAAACTAACTTACTTGGCCGTGCCTTGCTGCAGGGTGGAGGGTGGTGTAATACCATCAAGAGTTGTGTTTTTAGAAAAACTACTCGTCGTGGTTCCTCAAAACACATGGAACATCAAATACCATTCACGGGAATTTTGAGCAACAAAGCTGAAGAAAACCCTGGTTCTCCCTTCACCCTAACATGATGCAGATATTACCTAGTCCTATTGTTGAATGTACAGTCTCGGAGGCTGCTGCCTGTACACATGTAAGTCTGCATACTCTCATTTTTTTAACATTGTGCACAGATTTCTTCAACTGGAACAGAGTCAAATTACGGTACTGTGATGGGGCATCTTTCAGCGGGGACAGCGAGGACAAGGTCAGTGGAGTATCCCACTGCCCATTTCTTCCTAACTTCAAATATAGTTTCTGTTAACCGCCTGGCATAGCTTCAGAAAAAAACTTGTTTATTGCCGATACATTCAGAAAACTGGCATTTTAATGGGACATCATTTGCATACAGTTGTGCAACACGCACGTGCATTTCTTGCGAGTGACTTTTACAATATGGTGGTTGCTGTTTCAATTAATTGCAATCCAACTAATTTTTACAGAAAAAGACCTTTAGTTCTAAGTTTATTGTGTTGATAGAAGGTTTTGGTTCTCCTTTCAGACTGCACAACTTCAATTCAGAGGACAAAAAATATGGCTGGCTGCTATGGAGGAGTTAATGTCCAAGGGAATGCAGAATGCTGACCAGGTTTGACATTTCTCTTAACGTATCGATTGAATCATTATATTTATGGATGCTAATTCTGTATTGTGTATCAGGCCCTTCTTTCTGGATGCTCTGCTGGTGGCCTGGCATCCATAATACATTGTGATGAATTTCAGAGCTTGTTCCCTAAATCTACCAAAGTAAAATGTTTGGGCGATGCAGGGCTTTTTCTTGATGTGTAAGATGATTTTTGCTTCATGTGTTACCTAGTGTGTGCCTTTCTCGGGTTAGATTTCACTGATGGCATGTTCAATCATGTAGAGTTGATGTATCTGGGGGACGCACATTAAGGAATCTGTTTGGAGGTGTTGTTAAATTGCAGGTAGTTTTCATTTGGTAAATAGATTCTAAATGAATTTGATCTCTCTAGAATTTTTGTTATCCTAAGCTCGAATCTGGAAAGTCCATTAGCTTCAACCTTGTCAATAAACTCTTTCGTTATTGGCTTCACTTTGTTAAGAAAAGGAAATGTGTACAAATATGTCATTTCATGTGTTTTGGAATGTAGGGAGTACAAAAAAATCTGCCGGAAAGGTGTCTTAACAAACTGGATCCAACTTCGGTAACTCTCATATTTTGAACAAGTCACTGTTCAATACTTGATATTATCAAGACATGCTCAACTTTTAACTTGGGCTCTCTATAGTGCTTCTTTCCTCAGAATTTGATCAACGATGTTAAGACCCCTTTGTTTATACTCAATGCAGCCTATGATGCATGGCAGGTAAAATTAATTGTTATGCCCTTTCTCTTCTATTCTTGTGTTTATGCTTTGCCATTTATATATCAACTGCAAGAACCACGTCTTTGCTGGTTTTTTCTGGTAAGGACACGTCTTTACTGGCTTTCATGCTCATTTTTTCTCCCTTTTCTCTTTTGTCCAAGAAGAAAAATTAGATTCTGGACTTCACACTACCCAGCCTCTAGTTGTATCAAACTAATTTCCTTGGAGGGGTTAATGCTTCAAAATTCCACTTGTCTGTGATTTTGTCATTTTATGTTTTAGTTTGATTCTATATAGGGCAGACCAAGTAACCAACCAGGAAGAACAAAGAACATTTTCATTCATGGAGGCCGCTATAGCTGCCATTTTGTCTGCAGAAACCTGACTACTACTAAATTTTTATGACTTAGACTAAATCACTTGCAATTGTTTTGAATTTTGATCAGCTCCAAGCCAGTTTAGCCCCGCCTTCAGCTGACCCCCATGGCTCTTGGAATAACTGCAAATCAAACCATGCAAATTGTAATTCATCTCAAATTCGGTTCCTCCAAGGTGATTTTAATTTCTATAATATGAATTATGTGCCGTGATTGATTTATGTATGCAATCTGTCTAATTTCCTCCTAATATTTAATTTTTCTTTGGTTAATCAGACTTCAGAAATCAAATGCTTAATGTTTTGAAGGGATTCTCACTGTCATCTCAAACTGGATTATACATAAACTCCTGTTTTGCTCATTGCCAATCTGAGAGACAGGATACATGGTTTGCTGATGACTCTCCCCTGATTAACAAGAAGGTATGCCCGACGTGGATTCTATGCTCTTAAAACAGCAATATTGCATTATAAAATTAAAAAAATTGTAAGGTGAAGTATAAAATTAGAACTTTGTAGACTCTTTAGGTCTTGAAGCAATTTGTCTTTTGTTGGGCTAATAAATTGTTCATAAGACAGACAATGGATATAAAGACTCCAAATAATTTCTCGTGAAACTGCTTTTTCTCTACAGAAGCTCTGAATTGAAATAGAAAAATAAACTTTGGGAAGCTACTTTGTCTCAACAGTTCAATACAACCTCCCTCTATAGTACCATTTATTTAAGAGACAAATTTTGGCGTCTTATTCTGGCCTGGGAATTTAGAATACCTGCAGTGTGAGTGAAAGTGTGCCCAGTGGCATGCTGTGAGTCTTTCAGCATGCAAGAGATTGTTGATTTCTTCTGTAAGCCTAAACCAAGAATGCATACTGCATAGATTAGCACTTCAAACAATTCTATATGCACTTTCCCTTGTTTTGACTGCGGAAATAAGTTCACTGACTCCGATACAAGTGACTCTAAAACCTCATATCAAGTAGCCCATTCTTTTTTCTTTTTTTATTTCAGAAAAGAATTATATATATATATATATATTATTATGCAGCCAATTGCGATGGCTGTTGGAGACTGGTATTTTGATCGACAAGTTGTCAAAGCTATTGACTGTGCATACCCCTGTGACAAGACCTGCCATAATCTGGTCTTCAAGTGAGTGAGAACTTATTGCCTCCTCATATCGCAACCTCATATACATGCTGTCATTCTTGTGATTGCCGGTTGTGTGCTGTAATACTTTTTATTATTATTATTATTATGGAAAGAACATTCTTTGTCTAAGGTTCAAATAATTAAATCTATCATTATTTTCACTGATAACTCTTGTCTATGAGATTTATTGGTGTTCATGTTTCTACTATTTGCCGCAAGAGAAGTTTCATTTTAAGATATTACAATTTTTCTTATGCCCATGTTTATAAGAGGTGATTGGCATTTTTCGATAAATCCCACCTCGTTTAGACAAGTTTGCACTTTGAAGTGTTTCTCAAACGACCCAGGAACCTGCGCTTGAAAAAAACCACCCAGGGGAAGTGGTTTTAGTTACAGGTCTTTTATCGATGGTTTCGTCATCATTTCAATGCTCGAACATTCAAGCGACAGTATAAAAATTAATGTGGAATATCCTAATAGTCAACTAATGCCATGAGTTAAACCAAAAGAAAAAAGAGAAAAAATAATGCATCTCCATTTTCCCTGCGCCACTGAAATTTAAAATCCTCCTTTGCAGTGACGATGTGCCTACCCCAGTAGGGTCACAGTCAACAAGGTTGATCCTTTCCCCTTTATGAATGCATTCTCTCGAATTCTCGTGAAACTGTAATGAAATTTTCATCTTCGTCCGTTGCAGTGATGGTATATTTTCCACAGTAGATCCTCAGTCTTCAAGGTTCACTTAATCCCATTCCGATTGCCTTGTTTTAAAATCCTGTTGGATTTTACTGAAATTCTCATTCTTCCTCCTTTGCAGCGACGATGCAACTATCATGGTATACTCCTTCTCTCCAAGGTTGACTCTAACCCCTCTATATATGCTGACTGCCTGGTCCCTTGTCGTTCACATTTTGCTAACGCAAAATGGAGATCGTCTTTTTGTCCTTGTTCGATCTTCCATTTAAGCCATTCAACAAACATGATATCAAACAAGGTGTAAAATCTGTACGTAGGTCCATTTTCGCTGAGCAAAATTGTAAATGTGACAGCTCTGGTTGCATAATCAACAATCTTATTTTGATTTTGGAGTTTGTTGGACTTGAAAAACAGAGGTTGTTAGTGTGATTGATAGGGAAAGAAAGCTTTAAATCGTTGTGGGAGGTGACCACTTTGGCTGCAGGGCTGCGGTAGCACTGCAAGGGAAAGGCAAGACCAAAAATAAAATTTAAAATGAAGCGTATTAAGGCGTGGAAGCAGAGTGAAATGGGTTTTGATTCCTGTGTGTTTTAAAGGTTATTTTCAACCGACAGCTGAGCTCGTTAACCTAAACTCACGGCTAGAGCCATTTTACAGAGCTTGTAGGAAGATTACTTGTTAACATCAAAATCAATGAACCTGGGCCAAGCTGCTTCTCCGTTCCATGCATCTGCTCGATACCCTCTTACTGACTCGCACTTGACTAAGGGCGTGTCGGATCATGTCTCTCTTTCCCCGCTTCTAGTGATCCAAATCTTCTGACGCTTCTATTCCCACTTGACACATACACCGAAGTTAACTTGTTCACTTGTCAGTTTTCAGACTAAAACATGCGGTCGACGCACGACCCACTAAATTAGGCACTGGTCCTCCTCCTCCCAGAGGAGAGTTCATGGAGTCGCCATTAAATTCATAATAGCGATTAGCAGCACACAAACTCATTGACACTCGTTTCTGGGTCAATGCCTCAATGGTAATGACCAGGCTCATCTTTTAGGTGTACAATAATTTTATCCTCTGTTTTCAAAAATCACACATTTTCTCACTAGGCATGCTCCTTTCATTTCAAATTAAAAAATATTTTAAAAAATATTTTAAAATATAAGACAGAAAAATAAAATTTTATTAATAAAATTTTTTAATATTATCATTTTTAATAGAGAAAAAATTAAAATGATGTTATAATAAAATAATTAAGTACCAGTCCACAAAATGTTGTTATTACATTTTAATAATATGCATAATCTTAATTAAAATTGTCTATAATTTAGAGAATGGAGAGGGTATATTTTTGGTGACAAAATTTGAGATCAACCACACTATTCACAATTTTCTATAAATTTTATCTTTTATATTAATAATATTAATATTGATCATACTTGGCAAAATTCTCCGTCACTACATTCATTTGGCAGCCTAAATTTAGGAATATTAACATGCTCATATATATATAAATAAATAATATGAAAGGTTACAATTTACAAACAAGGCAGAGACCAGAGTCAGTGCGCCGAATGGCCCCTACTTCAGTCAACACATAACTCTTCGTATCTGCCCTAACAAAACTTTCATATGTTGTACAATGTACCCATCAGGAGGTGAATTACCTTTACTCTCCCTCCAACGGGGTAAAATGTATATCTCACACAGAATGAAGGATCTGAAAATTCTTATCGCAAATTTAGCGAGTTCTGAAATCAATCAACAACTCAAACACTCCATGTTCCAAACTTCTCACTCTCTGTTTCCATTGGGCTGTACTTTGTTCTCCTCCAGAATAATGGTTTCATTTCAGATACACAGCATGGGAGAGATGTACGGAGGAAAAGTGACAAGCACTCAAAAAAGGGGGATTAATTTCAGCTCGAAAACCCAACACTCCGAGGGGGACAAGGTAAAAGAAAAAAGAAAAAAAAAAAAAAAGAACTTACAAGGGCAAAAAGAAAGTAAGCATGATCACGGACGATGAAAAGAGCAGATTATAGATATGCGGTCTGAATTGCATGCAAAACAGAGAAAGTGGAAAGACCGTAGGACAAAACTAGCAGTCAAGTGCCGTATTTGGGTGCAGACGCCATAGCTACCGCCTGTGCCCATACTTTGAGCCGAGCCTTCACATCCCGCGGGTCGTCACCTAAATTTTGAGAAACCACTTCATCAGACACCAATCACTCGCTTTCTCACATTTTATTCATATATACAATGCAGAGAGTCAAGATCAAGATAAACAGAAGGATGGCTGATTGGCACTCAAAATTTTGGCCTTTAAGACTACGAAGTATTCATTCATTGTTGCAGCGACTGAATTAACGCAGGGAAACTCATAATTAACAGCAAGAATGTGTTAAAAATGGGAGGCGTACCCGGAGCGGAGATGCACCACTTGGCGATCGGAGAGTTGCCACCACTGCTAGTGTCGAGTGTGGAGTTTGAGAGAGAGATACGAGAAGGAATCTCCAGAGTCCGTTCTTGTTCCAGCTCAAACCCCAGGTCTCTACAAGCTTTCATTTCTTCCAAGTCCATGCACAATGACTTCCTCCCACCTTTTGGCCTCGTTTTCACTTTCACTCCATCGCTCTCCCCACTCCAACCATGGCTCATCACTTGCTCCTCCTTCTCTCTTGTCTTGCTATTGCCTCTCTCCATCAACATCCTCCTACTTCTTCTCCTTCGCCTCCGTGGATCAGAGTCCTTCCTCTTCTCTCCCACTAACCTGCCCTTCTGTGCCTCATTATCACTAGCATAGTCTTTCGCCGCGATCGGACTTTTACCCGACATCCCCACCCGATTCCTTCGTCGTGGGGCGTCCCCGGCAAAGAGTAACAGACACTTGATTCGTTCTCGGAGCCCGAGGACAAGCCATCTGCAGGAAGCTGTTTGCTATCGGATAATTCCCCGTCCGCATCACCGTCGCCTTCTTCGAAACTTTCTATGGATAAGCGGGACACGTACATGGCCATGGCATTATCGACCTCCTCCTCCTCGTCGTCAACGCTGCAGAGGGTGCTGCTCGTACAAACGGAAAGCCTTGACATGTTGTGGGGATGGGGGTGCCGATAGAGGTCGTACCCATCGTCAATATCGTAATCGAAATCATCATCTGGCAAGGATGAACGGAACGTCACGGTCTCATCGGAAGCCATCCCTTTTGATTAATGGAAGAAACAAGGGAAAAGGTCTGTGCTTTAGATGATTCAAAGATGAAGGAAGTAAGAAGCAATCAAGCGAGAGTGAATGTGAGATGGCCGGTATGTGCAAGGGAAAGAGAGCGGAATAGCAAGGAGGAGGAGATGGAAGAGAGCAGCCAGATGTGAATCACACGTTTCTCATTTCACGATAAGGTACACGACACAAGCACAGGGGCAGCTTCGATCAACCACCCTATTTATTCAAGAAACTTAATTTTATAGATTCGCTCCTCTTCACCGGCTGTTTTTTTTTTAAAAAAAAAATAATTCACAGTTTTCTTTTTCCATAATAAAATTGATCGTAACCTTGTTTTGTTGTCGCTATCGAGTCACGAATAGGAGAACATGGTGGCATCAGCAGTTCATTTAAAAGATGAGGAGGGAAAGAGGTGACGGCAGACAAAGCATGAAATCGACAAACGGGACGTTCCAGTGGTCAAGAGCGTGGCAAGAAGCTTACGGTGTCAAATCTGAAACATTTCATTTTCTTTTTACCATATCTTTGTTATAAATCTCGACCGTTTAAATTGAATTTTTAATTACGTAAATTAATCTGTACTTTACAAACATGTCAAATTTGAACCATGGAATAAATTCAATTTAACAATCCAAATTTACAGGTTCCTTGAAGCAAACTCCATGTCAAAGATTAGCTTAATTTACACAGCCTTGTGTACAAACTATGGCGGAAGGCCGATTTGCCGGGGGGAATGGAGATGAAATGACGATTAAAAAGCTAAATTAGTTTAGCAATAGTGGCACAGAGGACGCGTGGCAACCCCGTTGCCCTCGTGAAATGTGCTTTGAGCCCAATCTTAAATAAATAAAACAAGATTACTGACAAGTTGGAATGGTCACAAAAAGACGCTCAGTTTCTGGGGATTTGCACCGTTCCATTACCGCCGGCGGGATGTTTTACATGGCTCCACGTGCCACTCGGGTGATGTAATCCCCCCTCCTCCCTCTGGCAAGTCCTTCGCATTTGGCGACACCTGTCCGGTTGTCTTTATTTTTTTCATTTATAAATTATAAATTCTTAAACAAAGTCAGAGAATGGATGGGAAAAGGATATATACTCTTTTGCCAGGAGAGGAAACTGGAAGGGGATATGCTCGGCCTCGTCGTGGAGATAAACCTGTGGCGCCGGGTGGCGTTTGTTTTTCTGTGAAGTGTGAACATTATTGTTGAACCAACGATAAGTGATGACTGATGAGATGAGATCCAATCTGCTGAGGGGAAAGATGATGCCAGTTAACTCCAAATCATTAAAACCCTGATAATAACTAATAATCTTTATTTAAAATTAAATATATATACTATATCCATTTAAAAAAATAAAATATCTTTAATTAAATCTCACTTCATAATAAAATAGTTATTTATTTTTAATTAATCTTGTTTTTGTATATTTATCCTTATAAAATACTTTACAATAAATACAAATTATTCATTAATAAAGGTATTTTAAAAAAAGGATAGTGATTACATGTCAAAAATAAAAATATCTTATATTTTTAACATCTAATTTCTTTAAAAAATATTTTACATTTTTTTACAGAAAGAGTATAAGTTTATAAAATTACCCTACTTCAAAATAAAAAAATAATATTAAAATTATTATGATGGGTTATAATTATTATTAATCTTAGTTGAAAAAATATGATCTATAATTGAAAATGAATTATTTTTTAATATAAAATTAAAATTTACTTGTGAAATCTTTGAGTAGCATTTATAAGTATATGATAGTCACTCACAAAATTTACCAAAATCACTTTTAAATGTAAGCGAATCCCTTATGAATTTTTACATTTATCAATATATAAGCAAACTGCTTGAAAATAATAAAAAAAAGAGACCATTAAAACTGTTATCATAAGTGGGGGTTATTATTAATCTCAATTAAAAAAATTAATATTTTAAGTGTTATGGACTGGTGCTATTAAAATTACTACTATAGATTGTGAATATTGTTAATCCCATTTTCAAACTTAAATCCTGATTTTTTTGATTGAGATTGATAATAATCTTAACTCATAATAATAATTTCAATACTTGAAAATAATTTTGTAAACTCATATATCTAATTAAATCAAAATATGTTAATTTTTTATAAATTATTTATTTTATACTAAATTTTTGTTTTC